CAATGCAGGTTGTCCCCACTGAGTGGAGAGTTCCCAGGCCACCCTTGCGGATCCCTGTCGGCAGCATGGAAATTTCCCGCATGATCTCCTGTGCCCGTTTACACCCACAGTCATACAGCAACTGCTATTCACGTCTCGAGCAGTTTCCACATCAGCGGTCGCAAGGTGCAGACTGACCTTCTCACTCAACACATCGCCCGCGCCTTTCAGTACGATAATGATGGATGGTTTACAGGAAGCCTAAAAACAATGGTTCAACATGCTTGCTTTGATTTTTTTCTTCTTTTTGTTCCTGTTTAGATATTTTCATTTTTGTAGTCTCAAAAGCCGCAGTGACTTTTTTTTTAAAAAAAGGTACCTTGTGGTTGTAATGTGGTGTCGAATCCAAGAAACCCATCTACCATCACAAAAAAATGTGCAGCTGCATCAGCGGCGTAGCCGAAGGAACAAAAACAGTTGAGAAATGAAGCAGGAAGTTGGTGGAGGGAGAGGGGACGACCGAGGGGAACACAGCAGCGTTTGTCGCCGTTTAGTCACTTTCTCCAGATTCTCCAGCGACAGTTTTTCCCCTGCCATTTCCCCTCCTTCCATTAGGACTGCATTGCCCATGTGACATTAGTCTATTTATTCTTTTCTCAACATTGTTGTCTCACTTTCAAAAAACGTTTCCCAAAGCAGCTTACAAAAATAAAAACAATTCTATGCAAGATACAGTAGTAACGTGCATAACAATTAAAGCAATCCACTAAACTAGGGTGGCCAGCAAATGCCACCTCTAAGCTGTGGAGTCTTGTGAGCAAAATTTCTACTTCGTGAGCTGCTGGCATTGTGGGCAACTTGGCTGCTGCATAAATCAGTTTGCTCTGGAGCCATCCTTCCTGAGCTGAGACAAAAATGTGTGAGCTGGAGGCTAAAAACCTGTGAGCTAGCTCACACTAACTCAACTTAGAGGCAACGCTGGTTGCCAGCTCTTGATTGGGGGGGGGCCTGGGGAGGGCAAAGTTTGGAGAGGGGAGGGACCTCAGCAGGATATAATGCTATAGAATCCACGCTTCAAAGCAGCCGTTTTCTCCAGGGGAGCTGATCTTGGTCGTCTGGAGATCAATTGTAATAGCGGGAGATCAGTCGCAAGGTATAGATAGGAACTCTCAGTCTGGGGCAAGTGATCCTCTGTATTCTTGGTGCTTGGGGGGTGGGGTCAACAGTGGGAGGGCTCCTAGTGTCCTGGCCCCACTGCTGGACCTCCTGATGGCACCTGGTATTTTTGGCCACTGTGTGATACAGAGTGTTGGACGGGATGGGCCATTGGCCTGATCCAACATTGGCTTCTCTTATGTTCTTATGAGATCTCTGGGTGCAACCTGGAGGTTGGCAAGCCTACACTAAACGAAGAAAATAAAACCTTAGTGAATGGATATCAATTGGATCTGGAGATCTATATTAAAAGCCCCGAGTACAGTTTCTATTGAGCAGTTTTTCCCAATACACTGCTTGGATAGTGTTGGGGGTGGGCGGGGACTGGAGCGAAATTTTCATAATACAAAAGGCAGGATCCAGAGATGAAGTCTAAGTATGCCTGCTGGGCTTGGACATGCCCAACTAACCTTTTGACTTTGCTCTGGAACAGAAGACCTCTGGGCTGTATTGCAGACCTTTTAAAAAAAAAGTCCCTTCTGTTTCCAAAGGCGTTAGGTCATAGTACAGGGGGCTGCCATTCAAGAAACACAAGTCCCAAACACCATCAAGCATGCAGAACCTCGGGTCCTGGCCAGGAAACGCCGTAAAACTGGAAACTATACCTGTTCCCAGACATATTGGCCTTTCGTCATCTCAGTTCTCAAAACGGATACAGCCATAATAAAATGTCTTCTTTGCTTGAGAGCCATGTAATAAGTTACCTTATTAAGAATTCTCTGTTGTCTTATTCAGAATTCTCTGAGCTGGGAGAGCTTCCCCCGAGGTCACCGCTGCAACCGGTTTGTGAGGACGGCTCCTTTAGGACCATAAAAGAAGAGAGGAGGAGGACCCCGAAGGAGTTGCGGGAGCTGTGGCAGAAAGCCATCCTCCAGCAAATATTGCTGCTGAGGATGGAAAAGGAAAACCAGAAGCTGCAAGGCAAGTACTTTCCTGGATCAGAAGCTTCATTTGGGCAGGGGCTTCCACATTTTGCATTTCAGCAACAACAAGACCTCAACAATGCAGCAGTTGGGCTCTTTTTGTAGAAAAACCCCAGCAGGAACTCATTAGCATAATAGACCACACCCAACAGCAGAAATTCATTAGCATATTAGGCCACACCCCTGATGACACAGCTTATTAGCACATTAGGCTGCACCCCCATGTTACCAGAAGTGTAGTCATCCAGCCACACCCACCTTTTGCTGCTTATTCTGTTTACCCTGTTTGTTGTCAAAACCCAGGGCTTTTTTTGTAGCAGGAACTCCTTTGCATGTTAGGCCGCACACCCCTAACGTAGCCAATCCTAATGAGATTCACGGCTGTTGGGTGTGGCCTATTATGCTAATGAGTTCCTGCTGGGCATGGCCAACTTGGGAGCCAGCCGGAACTCCGTTCCTGTGCCTTCCTGCCCAAAAAATTGTGTTCACTCGGAACCCCCTTTTTACCAGTAATTTTGTATGTTTGTTTTCCTGCTTTCAGTGTTCTTCATGCACAGTTTGCTCACGTTAATCTTAATTCACCCCTTTGCTTCTTTTATCAGTGCAGCGTTTGCCCTGGTTGTGCTGTGCTGATAAAGTGCTCAAGTTCTCTTTCCTGTGAACTTTGTGTCTCTGTATATTCGGATCCACCTGCTTATGTCTGACGTGTTGGCCACCCTGCTGTCTGTTTGCTTCCTGAGCATAAGGTTCTCCAAATAGTCCCTGAGATATTGACCTCTAACTAAATGGTCGGCAGTTTCATGTCTCCTGACTGCAATGGGAACTATTTAAAAGCAGTCGCGTATCGCTCTTGCACCGGGATGAAGCATTGCCTGCAAGGAAAATTAAGATGAAACGAGGAGGTTGGACACAAAATGCCCCCCTCCGATACAGTACCTCTTCTGCTGCTTCTCTGCACCGCTGGTCTTTCTCCCACGTTCCGTGGTCCTAACCAGTCAGGGATCTTATAGTCAAATAGTATCACAGTGCTACGGCCAATCAGATTTGGCGATGTGTAAACCTCTTATGCTAAACCTTAGGTGGGCAGAGGGAGCAAACAGGATCCCCACATTGCCTAAGCAACCGGCAGTGCGACTCCCTAAGCAGGTCTACCTCAAATGCCTATTCATGCCTACTCAGTGGAGTTTACTCCCAGGAAAGTGTTCTTAGGATTGCATTGTGGATGACTTGCATCACAGCACAGTGCGGGAAGAGAGGGGACCATTGCACTGCTTGCCTAGGCAACGCAGGGACACAGGAAAAGAGAGAAACCTGCAACCGGGAACCACAACAGGATGGGGAAGGGAATGGGGTACACAAAAGACGGTGGGTGTTTTTTTTTTTCCATGTAATGCCCAACCAAGCTGTGAACAGAGCTAAAGCACATGGTGTTTCAAAACCTATTTTGGCTCAGTGACTTGTGTTTTTACCCAAACTTATTCTGGGATGATCAAGTGGGGTTTTTTTTGGGGGGGCGGGATGCTAATTCTTGATTTGTGTATACTTTTCAGTATGTTAGTATAAAGGTAAAGGTAAAGGTTCCCTTGCTTGAAAGCCAGTCGAGTCCGACTCTAGGGTTGCGGTGCTCATCTCCGTTTCAAAGCCGAAGAGCCAGCGCTGTCCGAAGACATTTCCGTGGTCATGTGGCCGGCATGACTAAACACCAAGGCGCATGGAACGCTGTTACCTTCCCACCGAAGTGGTACCTGTTTATCTACTTGCAATTTCTTGCTTTCGAACTGCTAGGTTGGCAGGAATGTTAGTATACTGTCCCATTTTGGAGAAATGGGGGGGGGGAATAAATAAGGAAAAACAGGTGTTCTTCAGTCTGTAAACTGCAGTTGAAGTGGAGGATGAGGCTGGTCCCCCTCCCAGAAAAACCTGCAGCTCTCCTGTAAATGGTCTCCACACTGCAATAAATAGAAGTGGTGCTCTGGCTGATGCATGGTGCTATTAAATCATCAAAGAGGCCGCATTCTTATGATGTATTGGAATAATATGTCCTGAGAATGACAGTGTACCGCTAATGGATCATCACAGCAAGGGCTTAACGCTGTGCATACATCAAGCAGATGCCATTAAAGGGACAGCTGCTGTACGATGCATCACTTTTTAAACGTGGATCTAAGTTATGCATGGAGATTTGAGTTAGATTTGAGTCCAGCGGCACATTAGAGACCAACCAAAAGTTTCATGGTATGAACTTCCGAGAAATCAAAGCTCCATTTGTCAGACACAGTAGAATAGAAATGGAGATCTGAGTGCTTTATCGCCCAGGAGATCTCTGTATCCAAAGCATCACCCGGCCCCTTAGCGACTGTGCAGCAAAGAGCCTCAAGAGAGGAGGCTGGCTACCATACCAGGATCGTCCTTATCGCATGACTGAAGGCCTAGCGGAGAGATTTGGAACGCCTCGGCTAAGTCGACATCACTCTCACAACATTAGAACAAAGTTAGAGTCCAGTGGCACCTTTAAGACGAACAGGGCTATTTTTGGGCAGGAACGCACAGGAACGGAGTTCCAGCTGGCTCCCAAGTTGGCCACACCCAGCAGGAACTCATTAGCATAACAGGCCACACCCAGCAGTAGAAACTCATTAGGATTGGCTACATTAGGGGTGTGTGGCCTAACATGCAAAGGAGTTCCTGCTCCAAAAAAAGCCCTGGGTTTTGACAACAAACAAGGTAAACAGAATAAGAAGGGAAAGGTGGGTGTGGCTGGATGACCACACTTCTGGTAACATGGGAATGCGGCCTAATATGCTAATGAGTGGTGCAATCAGGGGTGTGGCCCAATATGCTAATGGGTTTCTGCTGCGGGGTGTGGCCTATTATGCTAATGAGTTCCTGCTGGACTTTTTCTACAAAAAAAGCCCTGAAGACGAAAAACGTTTTATTCAAGGCGTGAGCTTTCGTGTGCGTGCACGAAAGGTGCCACTGGACTCTTAACTTTGTTCTGTTGCTTCAGACCAGCATGGCTGCCCACCTTGATCTATCTCTCAAAAAATTAGTTTTCCCACACAGTGCTGCTGTAGGGAGGCTGACTGTGCGGCTGAAACCCGAGAGTCTCCCGTAGGCTGTCTACCCGTGTCGCTGCATCACAACTCACCCCCCTTTTTCAGACTATCCCAATGCTCAGTCTGATAGTAATGCCACGTGTATCCTGTACACCCGTTTCCTTGTGTAAACATTTCAGAAAGTGCAGGTAAAGTGCATGATTTCGGCAACAGGCTGCTAATACGGACAAGCCCCCCCCGTGCCATCTTTTCCCCTGTCCACAGAGCTGACTGTGTGGTGCCCCTGTGAACATGAATCAACACCGTTGTGGGCAGGGCTCTTTTTGTAGCAGGAACTCCTTTGCATATTAGCCAATCCCCCAAGTGCTTACAGAGCTCTTCTTCCAAGGGCTACTGTAAAATCTCGGAGGATTGGCTACATTAGGGGTGTGTCGCCTAATATGCAAAGGAGTTCCTGCTACAAAAAGAGCCCTGTGGGGATTTCCTGTATTATTTGCTTTCCCTCATCGCAGGTGCTTTTCATGACACGCCGTGGTTCATTAGCCCGGTGTTGTCGGCGAACTGTCTCAAATAACTGTCCAACCGATTTATCGTACACTGAATGTCATTCATGTGCACGTCCTTAATGTGTTTTTTTTTGTCTAGCTTCTGAAAATAATCTGCTAAACAAGCGTCTGAAGCTCGACTATGAAGAAATCACCCCGTGCCTCAAAGAAGTAACCTTGGTCTGGGAAAAAATGTTGAGCGTGCCAGGAAGATCAAAGACAAAGTTCGACATGGAAAAGATACATTCTGCTATTGGGAAAGGTGAGCAGATTGAATTGTTTAGGGCAGGGGTGTCAGACATGTGGCCCAGGGGCCGGATCAGGCCCCCGGAGGGCTTCTGTCAGGCCCGCAGTGGAACTGGCTGTCTTCTACTGCTTCTTCGTGTTCTGCTGCTGCTGCGTCCTCGTAGGTATGCAGCTTGCAGATACACACCTGAACAGCATACTCAAGATTGCAACAGCACAGACATTTTGATGCAATAATTCAGAGCAAGAGGTGTCAGTTATCAGACCCTGTTAAATAAACAAAATATTGCAAGAGTGCTAATGTTTTAAGTATGTTTTTATTTTAAGGGGAAAAACCCTTTTGTGTTTGCGTCCTTTATAAAGTTTATATCTCCAGTACCTGGCATGACATTTTCTGACACACATGGCCCGGCCCAACAAGGTCTCATTTATGTCAGATCCGGCCCTCATAACAAATGAGTGAGTGCATGTAGTTGTTAAGAAGTCAGCTACTGGAACATTATTTTAATCATGCTAGTTGACTTTATCAGTCTGGCTGTCCACCTGAAGTCAACAGCAACTGCTATTCACAGAGTCCTCCGACTAGACTTAAGGGCTTTGGAGGGTCCCATAGACACAAAAGAACCAATTTTTGATTATGCAGGTCCTCACTGAGAAAACGGAAATGGGATCAGTCCTGCGTTTTATAGACTCCTGAGTTAGACCACCATGTGTTTTTTAAAATCCATATGGGTGTATCTCACTGCAAGTCCAATGACGTGTGGCTCTGTGTAGCTTTTAGATGGAGATAACATCCAATAGGGGTATAATTGTGCATCTTCTAGCAGGGTGTATTGAACCTATTCAGATCTTGTCAGACCAGGAAAGAGATCTCCTTTTATCTCATGGTACTATCCCTGCCTAGAAATGCATGTTCTTTCTGTCTCTCTCTCTCTCTCCCTCCCCGCCCCTCTCCCCCAGCCACACGTCCACACCAAATGTCCACACTTGCCTAGGCAGGCCTGCTCCCCAGTGTGAGAACCTAGGGCTTCAGGAGGTAATTTCTGCTACACAAAGGTGCAAATTCTTGTTTGGGAGAGATGGGGCTTCTTCCAGTGCAACAGTGAACAGGATACGCTGGCTTGCCACTCTCCAAATCCATTTATCTTTTTTTAATTATTATTTCTGTCTTCTTCAACAAGGCGTTCCTCGGCATCACCGGGGTGAGATCTGGAAGTTTTTGGCAGAGCAGTACCAGCTGAAGCATCAGTTTGCAAACAAACAGCAGCCGAAGGATACCCCTTACAAAGAACTCCTGAAACAGTTAACCTCCCAACAGCATGCCATACTGATTGACTTAGGTAAGCACGCCAGGATCTTTTGCTCTGAAATGGGAATCGGGATTTAATGTTTTGTGAAAGTGGGTGGGGAGGGGCCTCTGAAGAACATCTTGCATGCAATGTACACCACGTCTTCAAAAGAGCTGCTTTCTGTCACACTCTCGTATGAACGCATGAAGCTGCCTTATAGCGAATCGGACCACTGTCAGTCCATCAAGGTCAGTATTGTCTACTTAGCCCAGCTGTGGCTCAGCAGGATCTCAGGCTGAGGAGGTCTTCCCCATCACCTCCTGCCTGATCCTTTTAACTGGAGATGCCGGGGATTGAACCTGTGACCTTCTGCATGTCAAGCAGAGGCTCTGCCACTGAGCCAGGGTCTCAGGTCAAGGTCTTCCCCATCACCTCCTGCCTGATCCTTTTACCTGGAGATGCCGGGGATTGAGCTTGGGACCTTCTGCATGTCAAGCAGAGGCTCTGCCACTGAGCCAGGGTCTCAGGTCAAGGTCTTCCCCATCACCTCCTGCCTGATCCTTTTACCTGGAGATGCCGGGGATTGAACCTGGGACCTTCTGCATGCCAAGCAGAGGCTCTGCCACTCAACCACAGCCCCTATATACACATCCATGTTTGGGTACAGTGTGCAAGGCTCACAGCATTTCACTTATCGCTGCACGGTGCCCTCAACATCTCAATTTTCATTGTTCAAACAAAGAGAGAGAACGGGGAAAGTGAGGCTAGCTCTCATCACTGCAGAGGAAATATCTGAGAACAACTGTCGGTATAATAGACAGACACCAGACAGTATCGTCTGATGGCTGAAAACCTCACAAGAGTTAGGTTGAACAGGTCTTCTGTTAATTACTGTTAATGTTAAATACTGTTAATTGTGCAAGCATTTGTGTTCAGTTTTTAAATTCAGTTATTAAATAAGAAAACACATCTTAATTATTTTATTGTGGAGGGATAGGGTTTGGGATTTTATTGAAATGTTTGGTTTCATTTCTGGGTTCTTGTGTGTGACTTTGCTTTATAAATGGTACTAGAAAACCTCCAATAACAAATGTTGTGATGGAGCTCAACTTTTGATATCTTTTGGTTGGGTATATTAGCTTTATGGACTGCACAGAATTTTTGCATGGGGGGGGGGCGCTTGTATTATTGGATATAATTATTATTATTTTTTAAAAAAACCTTCCAAAACCAGTCTGGTACATTAGTTAATTCCATATAGGCACCCAAGTGGAGAGAAAAGCTGCATTTGCTGACATCAGTAGAGTTAGACAGAAAACTGTTGCTTTGCAGAGAGACAGGAAATCTGGAATGGAAAAGCCATGATAAAAGACGATGATGAAGAAAGGAGTACCTTGATTTTTGCAAAAATCATTCATAACCAAATACTGAAACACACTCAAACACTCCTGTGAAAAGGACATACAACTTGAGTGTCGTCAGAGCATTTGAAGTTTTGTGTGAAGTTAAGTTTCAGTTGAACATAATCATGTCCAGCACTTATTAAGCAAGGGTTAAAGGGTAGTACAGTTTATTTTTCATTGTGTTCTCACATGCACTGGGATTTTACTTCATATATAGCCTGTATGCACAGACCAGTGGAACAGCTTTTAAAAAACCCAAAAGATCTATTAGGAGCTGAATGTATAGATCCTTCCATTGGAGGTGATATTATTTATTAATTAATTATTTATTTAATTTTATTTATACCCCGCCCTCCCCGCATTGCGGGCTCAGGGCGGCTTACAACAATAGGCACGTAGTGCGATAAAACAACAATAAAACAATTTAAAACACTTAATACATGGGCCACGCCCAAGGATCCCACGTGACTCAAACCCTCTCTCCCTATTGCACAACCCCAGGGGAGGTTACTGTGGCCTCCTGATATTATTGCCACATTGGCTTCCGGTGGTGCTGTAACAGGCCCCATTGGTGGTAGTGGTGGTGGCGGCGGCTCCTATTCGAAAGCCTGGCGGAAGAGCTCCGTCTTGCAGGCCCTGCGAAACTGCAGCAGGTCCCGCAGGGCCCTGATCTCCTCTGGGAGCTCATTCCACCAGATAGGAGCTGCCACCGAAAAGGACATAGCCCTAGTGGTCACAAGCCTGGCATCTTTCGGGCCCGGGATCGCGAGACGGTGTAGCGACCCCGACCGAAGTGCTCTCTGGGGTCTATGTGGGGCAAGGCGGTCCCTTAGGTATGCTGGAACCTGGCCATGTAGGATTATGTACGCTTTCTGTAAAATGTTCTGCGTTTTAAATGAATAATGCCTGCTTCTTAAACAGTCCCCCCACTCACCCCAGGCCTATGCTTGAAATGTACTGGGAACTGTTTCTCTTTATAGGCTGCTTGAAGAGGAGAGTTGCGTCTGAGCATATGTAAAATGCCTTTCAATGCTGGGTTACTACATCCAGCTTCCTCACAGGCAGGGCCTTAAGTAAAATGCCTTCTCCCCTTCCTTTCTCCTTGTTTGGACCCAGCACATAGCATAGTTGAATTTTATTCCTCGTCTCTCCAGTGAGAGGCGTGGCAGAGTGCCATCCCCCCCCCCCAAAGAAACTAAGACCTGCTCTCCATGTTCCTTAACACATCTTTTCTCGTCTGGATTTCTTTTCCCCACCTCGTTAGCTTTCAGAGCTTTGCCAGGCGAGTTTCCCTGCCAAACAGGAGGCTTTGAATCGGACTGTTCAGCCGTGCATTGGAACAACTCCTACTTTGGGCAGAGAGGCTGCGGCAGAGCTGCTATTCCGGTTAGGAAGCAAAGCACACTGCATCTGCCGAAGCTCCCTGTTCCCTGCCAACCTAGGCAGCAAGCAGCCAGCCCCAGAGATCAAACACAGCCTGCCTTGCATGGGATGCATAAAGCGCTAGTCCATGTAGGAAGACCTGGCTCCAGGCTTTGCCTTCTGTGAACCAAGAGCCCTGATAATATCTGGCACGGCAACACGCCTCCTAACGGATGCAGCATTCAAGAATGGGAAGGGTAGGGTTAAATTTATCAAGAGGGAGGCTTACAAGATACTTCGCTTCCGCTCGAAGGAAAGTAAGAATAACCTTTCTTCTAGGGTTGCCAGGCCCCTGCAAGACGTCTGCAGGGGGATGCTCCGGGAGCTGGGAGCATTACCCTTGAAATCACCGGAAGTGAGGTTGCGCCCATGCCTACGTCACCCGGAAGTGACATAGGCATGTGGGGGGGGGCGCTCTATGTCACTTCTGGGTAACGTAGGCACGTCACTCCACATTGCTGTTGGGGGGGCCGATTTCCTCCGGGCAAAAGCCCGCAAAACCAGGGGATCCCCCGCCCCCAACTGGGGACAGGCAACCCTACTTTCTTCTAGCATATGCTTTGGTTCTTGAAAGAAGAAAAATCTGACTTGTTTCTCTGCTTCCTAGAGGCTGTGCTACATGATAAGTCTTTGTTTGGTCCAGCTTCCCCCACCCTGACTCCTCAGACACTTGTCGCGGCTGTATACATTTATTGTACTAGTTGTTCATGATAGGCATCTCTAAGCAAAGCTGTCATTCAGAAATTCAAAATGTGAGTCTGATACAATTCTACGATTTATTCAGACCTGGTGATAGCCCATAAATCATATAAGCAAGTGTGATGTAGTGATTAGGGTTTTGGATTAGGATCTGGTAGACCCAGGTTCAAATCCCCACTCTGTCATGGGAGCTCACTGGGTAAACTTTGGGCCAGTCACGCGCTCTCAGCCTCATCTACCTCACAGGGTTGTTGTGAGGATAAAATGGAAGAGATGAGAACAACGTAAGCTGCTTGGGGTCTCCATTGGGAAGGAAGGTGGGGTATAAATGAAGCAAGTAAATAAATAAATATACCAAGACAAAAATAAAACGTCACCACATCCTTGGTTAATGGAGCTTCTTTTGATCAGATCTCCAATGTTTAGGTATATTTCTGCTGTTGGAACATTTCCACACCCACCCAGAAGAGCCACCTGGAGCAACAGACAGCCCATGTACCAAGCTGTTATTAGCCCTATTTATTTATTTATAGCCCTCCCTCCCCTGTATAACCCGGCCCTAGAAGTGGCTGGAGTGCGGGGGGAGGGGGGGCTTTGCTATGTAAAAGCAGCAAAGGGGGCAAAATGGCCGAGGGGCCTTGTTCCGCTGTATACTGTGGTCCCAGCTCAACTTGGGACTACATACAGCTTCTGTCTTGCATTATGAATTGCTGGGAAGACCTCTTGGATCTCCCAACATCATGTCTGGTTTGGCCTTCAGACCCCTGAAGGCCCCAGTTTGCATTTGGCCTTGCAATGTGTACAGATCTGTCGGGACCGACTCACTGCAGAAGGGACAGGCAACATTCCTTGGCCTGATCCCCAGTTGTTCAGTCGGAGAGAAAAAAAGACGGGCAACTCCCTTCCTTGGCCATGCAGATCGGCCTTTGGCTCCACAAAAGTTTCCTGTCTTCCCAGAGAGTTTCCTCTTTCTTTCCAGCTGCTCCTTTGGAATTGCATTAACCATGAGCAAATCTCCCGTCAGAGGGTCGAGTTGGGTCCAGCTGTTGCAACTAGGCTTGCCATCTTCCAGGTGGTGGCTGGAGATCTCCTGGAATTACAGCTGGTCTCCAGGCAACAGAGATACAGCCCCCTGGAGAGAATGGTCGCTTTGGAAGGTGGACTCTGTGGCACTGTAACCCCGCTAAAGTCCCTCCCCAGACTCCACCCCCCCCCCAAGATCTCCAGGAATTCCCCAGCCTGGATCTGGCAACCCTAAGTACAAGTGAAAGTGAATAATACTTTGGGGGGGGTTCTTAACTTCCTAGGAATTCTGAGTTGACTTATAATTGTTTTGCTCTGGTCCGTGAGCCTCCCTTGCCACAAGTGTGTTCGCCCTCTCCCTTCTCCCTTCTCCCACACCTCCCCACTCCCAGTCCTCACCAAATGTGGAGTCTCTCTCTTTCTGTCCCTCCTCCTTTCCTTAACTGTTGCTCTGTCGTCCCCTCTTTGCCTCTGCACCCCCTGCTGCCTGGTAGATACTGTTCCTGGTGCAGAGGATACAGATTCAGATTCTGTCACTGGAGGCCACTCCAGTTGCAGTTCATTAGAAACAGCCCATTCCCCTGTTTCTGCTGATTCTGACATAAATGGGGTGGCTTCATAGATTTTTGTAAACTACTCAAACCAGGTATTCCCACTTACCAGTGCGTCCATCGTTTGACGAGGTCTGCCTAAACTAGATGAAACAACTTCCAAAAAACCGTGATTCTTTCCTCTCAGATATGGCCTGAACTACTTCGTTCCATAAATGCTTAGCATAAGCAGTTCTTTAACTTTTTAAGCAGGCTCTTATATTGGGACCTGTGTTTAATTGTTGGAGTTGGTGGGGCTCTTTACTTTGTCTAGTTAGTCTCATTTGTTTGGTTATTAGTTTCTTAAAGTTTCTACATTCCAAGTCGTACCACCCATTTGTAGAACAGGAGTGAGTATTTGGGGGTCTATCATTGATAAGCAATGGCTTTATAACCTGTACAATCTCTTCATAGTGTTGAATTACAGAGAATACAGGGACGTGCAGGGCTATTTTGGGGCAGGAACGCACAGGAACGGAGTTCCGGCTGGCTTCCGAGTTGACCACGCCCAGCAGGAACTCATTTGCATAATAGGCCACACCCAACAGCAGAAACTCATTAGAATTGGCTACATTAGGGGCCTAACATGCAAAGGAGTTCCTGCTACAAAAAAGGCCCTGGGTTTTGACAACAAACAAGGTAAACAGAATAACAAGCAAAAAGTGGGTGTGGCTGGATAACCACACTTCTGGTAACATGGGGGTGTGGCCTAATGTGCTAATGAGCTGTGCTGTCAGGGGTGTGGCCCAAAATACTAATGAGTTCCTGCTGTTGGGTGTGGCCTATTATGCTAATGAGTTCCTGCTGGGCTTTTTCTACAGAAAGAGCCCTGGGGACGTGTGATGTTCTCATGGTGCTGGGGGGCAGGGAGGAGAGGTAGTAAGTGAGAGAACTTGTACCACTGAGGAAGCGGGGAGGAGAGACAGAGCAAGAGCTGAGAGAGCAGCAGCCAGGTAAGTGGGTGGGAGAGAGGAACGCTTCTCTGTCTTGGAATAAAATCTGAGCTGGAGAAGAAAGGGCCATAAAGCCTGCCCTTATATCGAGAAATTAATGTTAGAGCTGCTGAAGTTCATACTCCTAGCCAAGGATCTATGAACTTCAGCAGCAGTGGCTTTAAAAAAAATAGCTGCCAGGGAAACAGGCACAGAACTCTTGGTCAGAGAATACGGAAAGGCGTCTGGTCTGATTTTTGGTGCAGGGAGTAGGGTTGCCAGCTCCAGGTTGGAAAATACCTGGAGATTTGGGGGTTGGAACCTGAGGAGGGTGTGGCTTGAGGAGGGGAGGGGCTTCAGTGGGTTAGGGTTAGAATGCCATAGAGCCCACCTCCCCAAGCGGCCATTTTCTCCAGGTGAATGATCTCTGTCGTCTGGAAATTAGTTGTAATCCCCGGAGATACCCAGCTACTACCTGGAGTTTGCCAACCTTAGCAAGGAAGCATCCTGACCCAGGCAACAACCCCACCATGATCGAGATCTTGTTTTAACAAATGGATGTTCCTGTCTGGCTAACGAAGGCCCATGATATTTATATTTAGAGTGCAGATCTATAATTACTTTAAAGCAATGAATCAATAGCGGCAAAGGATGTTGGCCTTACAATATCTTAGGTGGAACAGTTGGAAAAGTGTTCTTTATTTGCCTGACATCGTGGCAGACTCGCTTTTTGTTGACGTTGTTTGTATTCCCAACCTTGGTTTGTTTTCTCAGGGCGCACTTTCCCAACCCACCCGTATTTCTCAGCCCAGCTCGGAGCAGGGCAGCTGTCACTCTACAATATCCTGAAGGCCTATTCCCTCCTGGATCCGGAAGTGGGGTACTGCCAGGGCCTGAGCTTTGTGGCCGGCGTGCTGTTGCTCCATATGACCGAAGAAGAGGCATTCAAGATGCTGAAGTTCCTCATGTTTGACATGGGCCTTAGGAAGCAATATCGACCCGACATGACCATTTTACAGGTGAGAGGCCTGCTTGTGTTTTGCTTAAAAGGATACTGAACTTACTTTCCTGTTTCAGAAATCCTATGACAAGTTGATCTTAAGCAATGACTAAAAGAATAATATATTATTTCCTAAAGGAAAGTATGGGGGGCGGGGTATTGCACGAGTACATGGCGGATGCCTGAGGTCTCAGCTCTCAACCCAATCCCCCGAACTTGGCTTTTTTCTAAGCACGGTCCAGCTGCCTACCTCAAAAGAGATGGGAAAGGTTGGGGGGGAGGCAAAAATAAGTCCTCTGCAGCAGACACCCCCCCCCCCCATTGGTAAAAGCATATTTCCCAAATGGTGAAGCAAAAACCGAAGCTGGCCTAGATCAAGGGAAATATTCTAAAGTGGTGGCTGGTAGTATTGATGCAATTACAGGAGACATGAGCCTGGCTAAAAATGATTTGACGGAAGCTATTGCAAGCTTAGAAGAACAGATTGCTGAGAGGATCGAAAAGCTCCTTAAGCCTTTAACAGATCAACTTGCAGAGTTTAAAGAATCCTTACATCAAGTAACACAGACCGTGGACACTGCCATGAAACTGAGTATCACCTTACAGGTTGGATTGCAGCAACTACAAATTAGTGATATGTGAATAAAGGACAAGCTTATGGATCTTGAAAATAGATCCCCGTCTAGTAATCTGAAATTTCATGGATTTGGGGAGTCTGAAAAAGGTACAACAGACTTTCCCATCTTCTCAGCCAATTGGTTAGCCACCGAGTTGAACCTAGAAGAAGGAAATGTGCTTGTTATAGAGAGAGCTTGGAGGCTTAGTACTCCCGAATAACCTGCGCCATAAAATGGCTAGAGATATTGTGGCCAGATTTTTAGATCACTGCACAAGAAATAAGATACTCCAAGAAGCAAGAATCAGAGGCTCTTTAATCTATCAGAATAAAAAAAAATCAAGTATACCAGGATTTTTCAAATGAAACTCTACAAAGAATAAACAGCATGTTACATGAGGCAAATATTCGGTACCGGCGGCCTTTTCATGCAAGCTTTTAATTCATCATCAGGAAAAATTTCAGGCAACAGACATCAGCTTTTGCAGGAGCTGGTAAAGAAGCTTCAAGGAGAAAAACACCTAAACTCACCATTTCCCACCAAATAGAGCAGGATTCCCGTTAAGTAAAACTCTTAAAACATTTAATCTTTAATTTTTCTTTTTCTATCTCCTTTTAGCAACACCATAAAGTAACTGAGGTAATATTTTAGAGTTGAACACCTGAATTGCACCAGGGATGTATCTTCTTCCTCTTGTAAAGAAGAAGTAAGAGTTTGCTGCAGTCCATTTGCAAAGACCCAGGTTTCCATTTTTAGAGACAACCAAGATTTTAGATTTATTATAGTTTATTTTCAACTCCTTATTTAGGCAGTAGTTTGAAAAACATCTGCGGAGTCTCTTCAGGCCACTGTTGGTACGGGAGATAAGAACCAAATCATCAGCATACAGCAGCACGAGTATTTCTTTCGAAGCTAATCTAGGGCCATGAAAAGCTGAAAAAGCTGACAGCTCAACAACTCAACATCAGGTCATTTAGATATAAATTAAAAAGAAGAGGAGCGAGCAGACAAACTTGCCTCACCCCCCTATCAATGGTGAAACCCTCTGAAAACCCTCTTCATAATGCCCACAACACTGCATGAAGGTGTCACCTGAGGTGGAGTTTGTATCAATGAACTCCCCTGTCCCCAAATGATAGGTTGGGATCAGTGTTCCCTCTAAGCTGAGTTAGTGTGAGCTAGCTCACAGTTTTTTAGCCTCCGGCACACACATATTTGTCTTAGCTCAGGAAGGATGATTCCAGAGCAAACTAAGTTATTCAGTAGCCAATTCACCTGCTCACAACTTTAATGCCGGTAGCTCACAAAGTAGAATTTTTGCTCACAGGACTCCACAGCTTAGAGGGAACATTGGTTGGGATGTACAATATTGGGTTATCACTTTTCTTTCTCTGTCTTGGGTGTCAGTACTAATTTATGAATATTAATACTGTGGTTCTCAATAACCCTTCTAAGAATCAAGTTCCACTGAATGCAACTAGACTTCAGTCCAATGTATGATTGGAGATTTAGACTATGATGAGTCACTCAGCAATTCTTAAATCTTGTTGTATTGCAGACCCTGATTCTGATTTTATTTGTGCTTTATGGTCCTCCACTTCTTCTACAGCTATATTGGAGACCACCTAAAAGGGTTCTGAATTAAAAGTCGTTCTCTTCTTGAATGTGACTGTATTGAAGATGTAGGCTGTGAACTGGCCATGACTTGTAACACCTTAAATTTCCCTGTCACCTCCTCTCTTTCTGCCTTCTGTTCTGTTCTTGCTGACTTTCCTAAAGGTGCCTCATGGGACCAACTGTGATATAAAAGCCACATCTTAAGAATCATGGATGTAACTTTGCATTCCTGTTTCATCTGTTGCTGTTTTTCTGTTATTTTTACTTGGCAGATCCAGATGTATCAACTCTCTCGGCTCCTTCATGATTACCACAGAGACCTCTACAATCATTTTGAAGCTCATGAAATTGGTCCTAGTCTATACGCTGCCCCATGGTTTCTTACAATGTTTGCTTCTCAGTTCCCCCTGGGATTTGTGGCCAGAGTGTTCGGTGAGTCTTTCTCGTGATTGGACCCCTGTATGAGATCTGCTTGTCAGTTGCTGTTTAGGATGTAGCATGTTTGCCATTCAAGGGGTTTTTCCTTTTCCTTTCAAAGAAAACCACCTAATGAAAGAATACTGTTAGATACTTGGGTGGATCACAGAGTCTGTTAATCTTGGAGGGCGTGTTGTGCTTTTGACTTTGAAACGTTCAGTTTCTTCACCGGTTTAAGTAGAGACGTCATATTGTGAATACGGTAGGTGTTTTGGTGGGAAAAGAAAGGGTTAAAATAGGAACATACAGAATGCTTGTTGCTGTGACAGCAAAAGCATACGATTCATGTCCTGAATGAATGCGGGGACTGTCCGTAAAGAATAACTGGGGAAGGGTTAGGAGAATTGTGATGAAAGAAGAACTAGCTATTGCTTAGAACGAGGCAGTAAGAGCCAGCAGGAACGTGGTTTGAAAAGACATTTTAAAAGTCCAATATCCTTTGTGGGCCTGATGAAGTGGATTCCACAAAATCGTTGTTGTTTGGGTGCAGTCACTAATAATTAGTGGTGATTTAATTAGGCTTCCCACTCTCATCTTTGCGCGCCCCCCCCCCGAAACTTTCCTAGCTACGGGGCTGTATGGGTGGTTGTTGGGGGGGGGGGGGTCATAAGGCCTCCAAGGAGTGACTCATGACACAGAAACAAGCAATGGCAAACCACCTCTGAGCGTGTTTTGCCTCGAAACCCCCAACAGGGGTCGCCATAAGTCAGTTGTGACTTGATGGCGCTTTCTACCACCACCAAAAGTTTTTATAATATGAGCGGAGATTTTTGACAGAGCTGCATATTTTGAGCCAAATTCTCTCGCTGACCGAATTTGGCAGCAGCCCTAATCTGCCTCTAAATCTGCTGATTCTACAGACAAGACGGCTTAGGTATGGAATCGGGTCAACGTTCCAAGTGTAACAGATTGAGGTTATAGTCAGACATTCCTTCTCTTGGCCATGCATAATAACAGAAGACAATGGCTGGCGGCACTGATCAATGTCCTGCCTGAATGCCAATAAACTAAAACATCTGTTATATGAATAGACCCCACACTTTGTGTTTTGGAACATCTTTCCAACTTTGGTCAGGTTTTGTGGGGTTTTTTACACATTTATGCATTTCCCCCATCTTGTTTGCTCCTCGCTGTTTCGTTTCCTGAAGGATTCTGGCCCGTGAAAACTGATGCCATATTTGCTCGTCTTTAAAGCACCACAACTCTTGTTACTGCTTTCACGGGACAGTGGGGGGGGGGGGGTTAGGACTAAAGGTACATTGTTTTGGTCCTGGCTAATTCAGCTAATCAGCTAGTCTAGAGTCTTTCCACCAGCTGGCAACATAGTATGTTCTGTCCTCACAGTCCAGCAAGGAATGAAGTTCAGCATGCAGTAGACAAACTGTTCTGTGTATAACATTCTGATTCCTCTGTCTTCTAATTTGTCTCATTCTTTTTGCGGAGCAGGGGTCTCCAGTGCGGTGCCTCTCGGCACCATGGCGCCCGCCAATACTTTTCCCGGTAACGGCCAAGGGTTTTTATAAAGGGGCCAGGTGGGGTTTTTGCTCAGCAGGGCTTGTGACTGGCCACTGATTGGCTGTGCAGATTTTTAAAAAATTAACCCCATTGTTTTTAGCCGCAGCTGCCACCACCACATGAGGATCTTCAATACGTAACTGAAAATAAACTGTGTGTGTGGGCAAGAAAATATTTTTCAGTATGTTCCTTTTAAAAGGCCTTTTGTTAAGCAGACCTGCCTGAGAGAGATCTTGAATAAAAAAGGTAAAGGTTCCCTTGCTCGAAAGCCAGTCGAATCAGACTCTAGGGTTGCGGTGCTCATCTTTGTTTCCAAGCCGAAGAGCCAGCGCTGTCCAAAGACATTTCCGTGGTCATGTGGCCGGCATGACTAAACCTAAACACCAAGGTGCACGAAACGCTGTTACCTTCCCACTGAAGTGGTACCTATTTATCTACTTACAATTTCTTGCTTTCGAACTGCTAGGTTGGCAGGAGCTGGAACTAGAGACGGGAGCTCACTCCGTCATGCGGTCTCGAACTGCTGAACTACCGACCTTCCCCAGCCTGCAGTTCAGCGTCTTAACCGCTTGAGCCACCGCAGCTCCTCTACGAAATGTTGAATAATGACTACCATTTTGTGGTTGGCTCCATTCCCTACAGCAGCCATTTTGTGGTTGGGCCTACCATCATGTTTCAACACTCCAGAAGTGCCTGCAGGCACAAAAAGGTTAGGGATGCCTGGGGTAGAGCTTTAAAGTGTTTAAAGGACTCCCAGACATGGGGTTGGAACCCACCTAGATTTCCTCAGGTGATTCTTGCCAATTCCTCCCCTCCAGTGGAAGCCCTAACCACCCCCTGAAATGTTGATCATGAGGGGCATGCAGGCCTGTAGCTACAGTGGGACATCTCAGGGCCCGCCCCCCTGACTTCCCATCCAGCGCAGGACCCCCGACTTCCAATTTTTTATTTTATTTGTGTTGCTCGCTTGGGGGTGTGCGTGGGGTGCCCCCAACTTATTTAAAGCCCCCCCCCAATTTAAAAAGTCCTGGCTACAGGCCTGGGGGGCATGGCACCCCCCCCAGGAGTATTTTGCAGGGTTGGTGGGGATTCTTCCATTGGGGGAAAATAAGTAAATATTCCCCCCCCCCCCAACCGTGGAAATCAAAGAGGAATCCAAGCCGCAGCTTTGGTAGAACTTAAGATAACCCAGGGAGCTCAGTCACTCTCATTGCTCCCGTATTGAACAATTGAAGCTGCCTTATGCTGGTCCATCGAGGTCAGTATTGTTACTCAGACTGGCAGCGGCTCTCCTGGGGCTCAGGTGGAGGTCTCTCACATCATCTACTACTTGATCCTTCTGTCTGAAGATGATGAGCTTTGCACCTGGGACCGAGCAGGTGCTGTGCCACGGAGTCACATCCCTTGCACATGGAGGCTTTAAGGCTGAGAGAATAGTGGCCTAAGGCAGCCCAGGGAGGTCGGGGCTGAACCAAGGCTGCCCCAACCCCCCCCCCTTCTCTACTATGCATCTTCTAGCTCTCTAAGAAACTTATATTCCGTGTAATAGTATCATCAGTTGGAAATTGGTGGTGTGGGCTAGAGAGAGCGTGTGCCGAAGTTCCAAAACCTCTTTTTTTTTTCCTCTCCCCGCATGAACTTTCAGCACCCTTGTATAGATAATCATATGAGGGCCCCGTGCAACAAAGATATATTATTTTAAAACCTTTTGCTTGCTCAGGAGTAGAAGAAACTCTGAGAAAACAATGTTTTCTCTGTCCCAAGATTGTAGACGATTTGATTTGATTTTTTTTTTAGTCCCAACGTCTTCTCGTCAGGCTGACATTTATTTGGATGTCTGTACTGCATGGCTGCTGGCTCCCTGCCCGTTTGCAGTAAGACGTTGGACTGGATATGCTCTTAAAACAATTGGCCTTTTGTTTAACCGTTCGGTGTTTTGTATTAGGAGTAAGGCAACCGGTCCGACTTGTGCGCTAAGACGGCATCTTTCACAGTGAGGCATCTTGCGTATCTGTTGCTCCTCTTGGCAACTCTCCTAAGCATCGCCCTTCACCGGTTCGCTCACACCTTGTGCAATTTTCATATTTTGGTAGCATTTGCTTTCAAACTAGAAGCCTTAGTGGAAATTAATTTTGTCCACTGGAAACAAAAGCATCTGACATATTCCTTACTAACGTGTGGCAAATTTGTTTTAAGGGTGGGTGGGCATGAGCAGTTGGCTGTTTGTGAGCACACCTGGTAGATGTGGGTAAACAACATGTTTCGGACAGGTGCCCATTTCCTCAGCGCTGGACTACTTTAGGGCACTTTACATGGTGTTGCCCTTAAAACAAACCTGTAACCTTAAACTCACCCATTGTCAAAAACTAGTCATTTACACCATGTAACATGGATACCGGAACAACCTCCGTAGGGAACCTCCACCGCCAGAGGCAGCAAACCTCTGAATGCTGGTGCTAGGAGGCAATATCAGCAGAAGGTCTCGGCCCCGAGCACTGTTTGTTGACCCACAAGGGTAATCGGTAGGCCACTGAGTGAAAGGATCCTGGACTAGATGGGCCACAGGTCTGATCTCTTACGTTGCTGTGCAAGGGCCCCGATTAATCATGGACCGCGTTTGCACCTTGGGGCTGGATGAGGGGAAGCACGCTCACCAGTGGGGACCGGCTGTGTGTCACTGGAGGGGGGACTTGATCCCGCGGTTGTCCCTAGGCTGGCCAGTCCCTGACATGGAGCCAGCTTGGTGGGGGGCAGGTCCTTTGGGTGGTCCAGGGGCGGGCTCTCCCTTCGTCGGACCACCCCACCCCTATATGGCTGGGCCACTGCAGGGACCAACGTCCTCGCTCACTTGGCCTTTCCCATCCACCCTCCCTCTGCTTTTACAGTTTGTGTTTCAGGTTTTGTTTTATTACACAGCTGTCATGACTTTGGACGGGGTGGGCATTGGGAGAGAACCAGGGCTATTTTTGGGCATGAACGCACAGGAACAGAGTTCCGGCTGGCTCCTAAGTTGGCCACGCCCAGCAGGAACTCATTAGCATAATAGGCCACACCCAACAGCAGAAACTCATTGGGATTGGCTACATTAGGGGTGTGTGGCCTAACATGCAAAGGAGTTCCTGCTACAAAAAAGCCCTGGGTAAACAGAATAAGAAGCAAAAGGTGGGTGTGGCTGGATGAGCACACTTCTGGTAACATGGGGGTGCAGCCTAATATGCCAATGAGTTGTGCTGTCAGGGGTGTGGCCTAATATGCTAATGAGTTTCTGCTGTTGGGTGTGGCCTATTATGCTAACGAGTTCCTGCTGGGCTTTTTCTACAAAAAAAGCCCTGGAGAGAACCTTTTGTGGAGGAGCCTGTGTCTGCACACCTGCCTCCCCCGTTTGGGGACTCCCTGGTGGGGCCTTGGGGATAGAGCCAAAGAGCAGCGAGGCCAGCTTAGGGCTGGCGTAAGTGGCGTAGGAACCACTCAGCAGTCGGCACCCAGGTGGACCCCCGGGCTTGCCATTCCACGGTTTTCTCCTAGCGAGGCGGGCTGGGAGAGTCGAGTTCATTCGGCAGCAGGTGGTTCACCCGATCCGGGATCCGTCTTCATACTGTGCCAGGCCTTCTGCTGTTGTATTCAATAAAGACGGGGCCAGTTCACTCCAAACCTGGATTGTGTTGTTGCACTCAGGGGTCGTTTTGTAGAAAAAGCTAGGGGAACTCATTAGCATAACTCATTAGCATATGCCACACACCCTGACATCACCAGAACTGTGTCATAAGGCCACACCCCCTGACATCACCAGAAGTGTGTCATAAGGCCACACACCCCACCCCCAACGGTCCCGGCCGGCGGGAGTGCAAGGAAGCCCCGCGAAGGCCCTCCCTGGCCCCAGGCAGGGGTGGGGAGAGGCAGGGAGGAAGCAACTTACCCTCCCTCTTCTCCTGCCTCCTCCTGGCTGAATGAGGGCCGGAAGCAGGGGGCAGGGCTTCGTCATGTGCCCCGCCCCCCGTACCTCACCCGGGGGAACTGCGATCGCCCGCGATCCCCCCCCGAAATGACCTCTGGTTGCACTTCTTTCCTCACTGCTGCCCCAACTTCCCACTGGGTCTGCAAGGAACAACTGCGTTGAGTGCCAGTTTGTTTCCGGGTTCAATGATGTTTTTGACCTTTAAAGCCTTTTATGAGCCGGGGCCCACACAACTCCAGGGACTGCGTCTCCCTGCATCATCTTGTGCATAAACCCAGTTCCTTCAGCCTTAGACCACCTTGTCTGTACCGTCTAGAAAGGATGGCCACTCCACAGCTGTCTGTTTCTCACCCGTTGCTCTGGAAAGGGCTGCTGGTGAATGTAAGATCTGGTACCACCTTGGCAGCATTCAGCAGAATGGTGTGTCCAAGGGTGGTGTTCTGAAGAACCTTCGGTCAGGTGATGTGTGCACGCACACAAAAGGTTATACCCAGAAATGTGTTGGTCTTAAAGATGCCTCTGGACGCCAACTTCGTTCTGTTCCTTCCGACCAACATGGCTACCCACCCGAACCTATCCAATAGGAATGAAGATGATCCTCTGCTACGAAATATAGGACCAGCCCAGTGTGTGTTTGTATTGTTCATGAATAGCCTTCCTTTCTTCCATAGAATTTAGAACAGAGTATTAAGGGGGTTAAGGTAGAGTATTAAGGTAGAGAAAGAGGTACTTTTCTCCCTTTCTCACAATACAAGAACTCGTGGGCACTCCATGAAATTGCTGAGCGGTCGGGTTAGAACGGATAAAAGGAAGTACTTCTTCACCCAAAGAGTGATTAACACTTGGAATTCACTGCCACAGGAAGTGGTGGCGGCTACAAGCATGGACTGCTTCAAGAGGGAATTGGATAAGCATATGGAGCAGAGATCCATCAGTGGCTATTAGCCCCAAGGTATAGATAGGGACTCTGGGGCAAGTGATGCTCTGTCTTCTTGGTGCTTGGGGGGGGGCAACAGTGGGAGGGCTTCTAATGTCCTGGCCCCACTGGTGGACCTCCTGATGGCACCTGGTGTTTCTGGCCACTGTGTGATACAGAGTGTTGGACTGGATGGGCCTTTGGCCTGATCCAACATTGGCATCTCTTATGTTCTTATGGGTTTAACCCCATTTTGTCCTCTCAAGAAACCTGTGAGGAAGATTAGCCCGAAAGAAAGCATGGCTGGCCCAGAGTCTCAAATCGAGCTATATCAGGTTTTCCGCTTAGGTCTCCCAGTACTTTATCCACAGGCCAGGAGAAAGTGTGCCCTACAGAAAACATACAAGTAAACCCAGTCGTTGTGGACAAGTCTAATAAGAGATCATTACAATTACATAACATGTTTATTTTCTTTTTCCTGTCTCCCCCCCCCCCTCTGCTTTTCAGACATGCTGTTTCTCCAAGGTTCAGAAGTCATATTTAAAGTGGCTTTGAGCCTGCTGGGAAGCCACAAGCCCTTGATTCTGCAGCACGAAAGCCTGGAAACAATTGTCGATTTCATTAAATGTACTCTTCCAAACCTGGGCTTGGTACAGATGGAAAAGACCATTAACCAGGTACGAGAGCGGGTATCATCAAGAACGATTAGATTATAATATTGTGAGCAGTTTATTCATCTCCCAGTAGGGGGGAAAGGATACATGCATTTCTTTCCTTGAGCTGGGGTGTTAAGACTTGGAAATGACCTAATGCAAAAGCAGATTATTTTTAAATGCTGGCAAGAATCGTTGGCCCTGACTTGAACGGTCAAGGCTAGCTTGATCTTGTCAGGTCTCGGGACCAAAGCAGGGTCGGCCCTGGTCAGTGTTTGGATGGGAGACATCCAAGGATGACTTTGCAGAGGGAGGCCATGACAAACCACTTCTGAACGTCACTTGCCTTGAAAACCCTATGGCAGTGGTGGCGAACCTATGGCACGGGTGCCAGAGGCGGCACTCAGAGCCCTCTCCATGGGCACGCGTGCCATCACCCCAGCCAGGCCCAGACCGTCATTAAGGTGTTGAATTCTCTGCCAAATCATGTTAAGTAAATGAAAGCATTTGGGATTGCTTTCCTTACTTTGTCTGGATCATCTTAAGTTAATGTATGAGTTGTTTTTTCTAAAGTAAAACCTCAGTAAAAAAGTAAAGGTTCCCTTGCTCGAAAGCCGGTCGAGTCCAACTCTAGGGTTGCGGTGCTCATCTCCGTTTCCAAGCCGAAGAGCCAGCGCTGTCCGAAGACGTTTCCGTGGTCATGTGGCCGGCATGACTAAACACCAAGGCGCACGGAACGCTGTTCCCTTCCCACCGAAGTGGTACCTATTTATCGACTTGCAATTTCTTGCTTTCGAACTGCTAGTTTGGCAGGAGCTGGAATTAGAGACGGGAGCTCACTCCATCATGCAGCAACCCGGGTCTCGAACTGCTGAACTACCGACCTTCCACAGCCTGCAGTTCAGCGTCTTAACCACTTGAGCCACCGCAGCTCCTAAAACCTCAGTATTCAGGTTAAATTGCCGTGTCGGCACTTTGCAATAAATAAGTGGGTTTTGGGTCGCAGTTTGGGCACTCGGTCTCTAAAAGGTTTCGCCATCACTGCCCTATGGGGTTGCCATATGTCGGCTGTGGCTTGATGGCACTTTACACGCACACACACACACGCACACACACACACACAAGAATCATTAACATTAAGCCTTTGGGTACTGTTACAGTGGGATTTCCTACTGTCTTTTCGTAGTGAGTTTTGTTTATTTGAACACTGGAGATGCTTTACATGCTTGAACAACAATCATATATCCTGGATACAGGAACCAAGGTTAAACATTTGATGCAGTTGTTCTGGAAATTGACACAAAAGACAACATTCCTTTGTGTGCAAACAAGGCCTGATGCAGTCTGCTACAGAAGACAATGGCCATGAAATGACAAAAAAGAAAGGAATGAATGACAAACATATTGCTCCTAAACAGCAGTCATCAGTCAGCTATTTGACTTCTTCATCCAAATCTTCCAACCTGAGAGTTGTTTTATAGATATCATTTAAGACTGCTTTATTAATAATTTTATGCTTGTTGTTTATGATTTATGATTTGTTGCATTTATTTACTTTGGGAGCCACCTAAAGCAGATCCCTGGAGAGACACCATATAAATTTTCAAAATAATATGAAATGCAAACCTACCACTAGGGATGGGCACGAAGCAGATTTCGTGACAAACCAGGCCAGTTCATTAGATCACAAACCATGATTTGGGCAATTGTGTTGTTTGCGAACCGGCCACAAACCGGCCTGGTTTTTGGTTTGTTCGGGTCGGGTTTGTGGGCCAGACATGGTGGACTGCCTTCTGAGTTCACTTCTGAGAACTGCCGTGGCTTCTGTGTGTGTGGGGGGGAGACAAAAGGCATCGCTGAACTGGCTTGCATCTATTAGAGGGACAGCTTGCTCATGACGGCAGCAAAGGCGGGGGGTTGGGAAGCAGACCCCTGGATATTGGAGAGGGGGCCCAGTGGCACCTTTTTGGATACATTGTCCCGACCCCGGCACCTCGGGAAGGCGAGGTTTGACGCGGGGGAAGGAAGTCGTCAACAAGGAAAAGGGGGTACGGTAGATTTGACGGTGGTTGCGAGGTTGTGCCTGCGGGCCAACCCTCGGAGGTGGTAGAGGAAGGCCAGGAGGTGTGAGCAGTTAAATTACGGGGTCTCCAGCACCCCAGGAAGGAGCTTTTGCAGGGGGGAGATGGCAAAAAGGGGGGTTTGCTTGTAGCAGCAGCGAGAGGAGGTCGGAAGCAGACCCTGGATATTGGAGAGGGTGCCCAGGGGCACCTTTTGGATACTCAGTCCAACCCCCAGCACTTTGGGAAAGCAGGGTTTGATGTAAGGGAAGGAAGCTGTCAACAGGGAAGAGAGGGTACAGTGGATTTGACAGTGATTGTGGGGGTCGTCCTGGCAGAGGAAGGCCAGGAGGTGTAAGCAATGAAAGAATGGGGTTTCCAGCACCCCAGGAAGGTGCTGATCCAGGGGACAGAAGGTGAAAAGGGATGGTTTGGCAGGGAGGAAGGGTCGGGAAGCAGACCCATGGATATTAGAGAATGTGCCCAGGAACATCTTTTGGATACTCAGTCATGAACCCAACAAACCCCAAACCAGTTTGGCAAACCGAAAAGTTTGTGGAGGTTTGTGAACCGTGGTTCATGGTTTCTCACAAACCACCACAAGTCACCATTTTCCTGGTTCATGCCCATCCCTATTCACCACCACTAGCCACCCATGTTGCTTATGTGGTCTTCAAAGTATTTCAGCAAGCATTCTGCTTCAGCCCTCCCACTGTTGCTCCCCTCCAAGCACCTCCAAGCACCAGGTGCCATCAGGAGGTCCAGCAGTGGGGCCAGGACACTAGAAGCCCTCCCACTGTTGCCCCCCCCCCCAAGCACCAAGAAGATAGAGCATCCCTTGCCCCAGACCGAGAGTTCCTATCTATACCTCATGGCTAATAGCCACTGATGGACTTCTGCTCCATATGCTTATCTAATTCCCTCTTGAAGCTGTCCATGCCTGTAGCCGCCGCCACCTCCTGTGGCAGTGAATTCCATGTAAAAAAACCTGCGCAGCCAATCAAGTCTCCAGTAGTCCATCAGAAGCCTTGCCGGACAAAAGCCCCACCCAGCCTCACCCACTGCCTAAAACACTTGGTGGGGGCCCGAAAAGGTGTTGGCGGTCACCACCACACTGGGGACTCCTGTTGTATTACATGTAGTATGCATAACCCGTGTCTCCCTACCATAAGAGTTACAATTCTCGATGCTAGTTATTTGGAAGAGTCCTTTTTTGATTATCAAAGGTTCTCAAAAAATGGTTAGGATTGTAGCGATGGGTATTGAGGCTGGATGTGTTCTCGCCACTGAATTTTCCTCTTAACATGGCAGAAGTGAATTTTACCTGGAACAGTCGCCTTTTATTGTCTGAGCAATGGATCCTGGTTCAGTGGGGAAAACAAGTGATACTGCAGTAGGCAGTTAGTTCTGCAAAGGAGAGCATTTGCATTCTCCGTCATTCCTGATTTGTTATGGAAGATTAAGATTCGAACTAGATACGAGCCCTTCCTTGATGTAAAAAAGAATAACGAAGATACTCTTCCATTTTACATACATAATAGGTATTTGAGATGGATATCTCCAAACAGCTGCAAGCATATGAAGTTGAGTATCATGTACTTCAGGATGAACTGATAGATTCATCCCTCAATGACAATCAGAGGATGGATAAATTGGAAAAAGCAAACAGTAGTTTACGGAAACAAAACTTTGACCTCCTTGAAGAGCTGCAGGTATAAATTTGGGGTCCCCCCAATCTTATCTGATTGATGTTTTAATCTCGCTCTTTCCCACAGGGTATACAGGGCTGCATTTAGAGTCGCCGGCTCTGGGCTGGGAAATACCTGGAGATTTCGGGTTGGAGGGTAAAACCTGAGGAGGGCGGGGTTTGGGGAGGGGAGGGGCCCCAGCAGAATACAGTGCCATAGAGTCTGCCCTCCAAAGCAGCCATCTTCTCCAGGGGAACTGATCTTGGTTGTCTGGAGATGAATCGTGGTAGCAGGAGACCTCCAGGTCCCACCCGAAGGCTGGTAGCCCTAGCCACATATGTAGTTCTTCCCTCTACAGTTTTATCCTCCCAACAGCCCTGTGAGGTAGGTTAGGCTGAGAATGAGTGACTGGCCTCAGGAAGTTTCATGGAAAGTAGGTATGTTACCTTATTATGGAGACAAATGTAATGTTTAAAAAATGCTTCTAAAAATGTAAAAATGAAATATCATGGCTGTACACAGCTGAATGTCTCCTGCATAAGCCCTACCCTGTTGTTCCTTGAAAGACTGAGTATATATACTACTGGGACGTTAAGCAGTTTCTGATTTTGTGAGCATCAGGAGACATGCCTGAAATAATGCCATCAGCGCTCCCTGTGATACACATCGTCTTAGCAGACTCTTCCTTTTACCTTGCAGCTGTTATAAAATGTTGCCTTTTTAGTCTAATGAAACTGGGTCTCCTTAGCTCTTCGTAGGACACCCCCTGACCAGATTCATCCTAGAAACATTTGGTGTAGTGGGTAAGAGTGTTGGACTAGTGTCTGGGAGTCCCAGGTTCGAATCCCCACTCAGTTTGGGGATTCGAGCCAGTGTGGTGTAGCGGTTAAGTGCGCAGACTCTAATCTGGGAGAATCGGGTTTGATTCCCCACTCCTCCACTTGCAGCTGCTGGATGACCTTGGGCAAGCTATAGTTCTGTCAGAGCTGTTCTCTCGAGGACAGTTCTGGAAAGAGCTCTCTCAGCCCCACCTACCTCGCAGGTTGTCTGTTGTGGGGAGGGGAAGGGAAAGGAGTTTGTAAGCCGCTCTGAGACTCCGAGTGAAGAGTGGGGTATAAATCCATTCTCCTCTTCTTTTTTGTCATGCTATGGAAGGTCGCTGGGTGACCTTGGGCCAGTCGCAGTCTTCTCAGCCTGACCTACCTCAGCAGGGTTGTTGTGAGGACAATGGATGTAAGCTGCCTTGGGTCCCCATTGGGGAGAAAGGCGGGGTCCAAATGAATTGAATAAATAATGGCAAGCCTACGGGGGGTGGTTGATGCGTAGGGTAAGAAGCTGGTTGTTCATCTTCCAGTTCTCCGTGCAGTCCCAGATGGAACCGTGCTGGTGTAGGCCTGCGGCAGACCTGCCCAAGCGCAGTCCCATGTGTGCCTGCACAGAAGACCACTCAGTGAACAACAGTTACAGGTAAGTGCAGGGCCGTAGCTATAGTGGGACAGCTCGGGGCCGGGCCCCCAACTTACCGCCCAGACCGCCTGACCTTTAAAATATATATATTTTTTATTTTTTACCTTGTTTTTTGCCGAGCCACTACCCTGCCCTGCAAGTGCCAGCGAGCCTGGCGGCTGGTAGAGGTAACCCTGTGGGTAGGGCATGGCTGGGCTGGGGGCGAGACGGAGAGCGCTGCCACCGCTGCTGCGGCCACCACCAAGGAACTCACGGCCTCCCCGCCATCATCACGGCCTTCCTGGTTGTCTCGGCCCCACAGTAAGGAAGACCAGTGAGGCTAAAATCCTAGAGAGGCCTCCAGGAAAGCGGGGCGGGGAGGCCGCTTCCTGCCTGCCTGGAGTGTGCAGGTGGGGAATCGGCCTTTCTTGCTCCCAGACGTGCAAAGTAGCATCAGCTCCTACCTCCCGGGTGAGTCAAGGGCTATCCCGGGGCTGGTTGGCTCACGGGGGTGTGTGTAGGGGTGCCCCAACATATTTAAATGCCCCTGGTTGTGCAACCCTGTTTTACCTGTTTTGAGATTTTTCTGGCTTTGGGAATCGAAAGTGAAAACTCAGAAGCTGAAAGGAATACAAGACCATTCAATTTAATGCTGCCAGGGTCAGAAGTTCTAACTCTTGAGGAGGCAAAACAACAGTTGATCAGTTCTTGGCAGACTTCACTTTGGTTGTTCTGAGCCATGATTCATGTTTCCTTATCTCGCTACCAGTGAAGTTCCTACCCAGCACAGCTCTGGATTAACAACACTGTGCTTAATTAAAATACCTCAGTTAATAAATTCATACACCTATTAGTCAGTCTTGCATAGATTTATTAGCTTTCTCATCTTTTCTGCTCTGTTATTAAGCTACAGGATTAAGTAATCCTAGATCTTAAATAATCATGATTTGGAAGGGGAAACATAGACAAAATCTGATTTATTCATGCAAAAGGTTCATCATTCTGACAGGTGCAGTGTTGGGGTGGGGATGTGTAAGGCAAGCCAAAAGCTACCCTCTCCCAAGCACTGGTGGTTCAATGTTTGAAGGAAGGGGCAGACTTTAGGATCTATATAGAGAAAAGATGGATCTATATAGTGTGAGATGAAAGTATATTGGCATGTAAAGTTGAGAGCTGATGTTATGGAGAAAATATAAATTACTACATTTAGGTTTGCAAACAAAGGGGTTTTTGAAAGCTAACAATGCTAAAAATATGAAACAATATCTTAAAGGGACTAGATTGATATTATATAAGAAATTTGACCTGTCTAACTGTTGTGAAATACCTGGTTGTTGTTTTTTTCTTTTATAGTTTTATTTTTATAAAATTGATTAATATTAGTAATAGCAGATAGGATATAGAAAAAATGAATTGTTTATTGGGAACAGAATTTTACTTAATGATATCTGTTGTGGACTATAGACTAACAAAGGTATATATATATATATCCTTTAAAAACCAAACCTTGCCCATTAACAATGGGCAAGCGGGGGGGGGGAGGATTGTCCATTTATTCGTGCCCCAAATTATAGCACGATTACTTATATCCTCTGAACTCAAAAGGTGTCATTGGAGGAACAAGAACACCCATTTCAGCATAGTCCCACTATTGATTTTCTCTCTTGGGCATACTGGAGTGTGACAAAGAGACCCCCACATTGATTTTGATACATGTATGCCGGTTAATAAATGGATCTAATGCTATAGTCATGTTCTGTATGTACAATGCAGTGTGAAGTATGTGTGCATTCACATAAGATGGGAAGAAGTGCAATATGTAAGTCAGCATTCGGTATTTTTTCCACGTTTCCTCGCAGACACAGACACTCAGTTCCTTTTCCCTTGTTTCAGGTGGCCAATGGAAAAATACAAAACCTGGAGATCATGGTTGAGAGTCTGTTGAACAGTGAGAGTAAACTGAAGCAGACGGTTCTTGCTCTGGAGCTAGAGAGGAAAGCCTTGCTGGAGACAGTGGAGGAGTTGCACACACATTCGGTGAGGCCCATCGGAAACCCTCCACTTACCAGGCAAGAGCACATGGACGCCGCTATCTGACAGCGCAAAGAAAGAAAGATCTACAGGGACAAGGAAGGGAAGGACCGTCTTCTGAAACGCAATCGGAATCTTTCCCATCCTCCTCCACATTGTCCATGCCTTAATTTTGGTTGAGTGAAACAAAACAAACAAATCGCACAATAGAGAAGTGTGTTACCGACGGAGGAGGCCGTGCTTGTTCATTTCTAACATTATTTTGAACGACACATGTATATGCAACATAACAAGCAGAAAAGCCTTTGTCCGGTCTGGTGGTCGTTTTGCTTTTGACCACCACTCCTGCACGGGTGAGCGTGTGCAATCCTAGTAGTGCTTCTCTACCCAAGGGCTCCATATTGCTTTAGCATGACGTCTTTAGGGAACTCCCCTTTCCAAGGTCGTATGCTGCAAAAGTGCTGGAGAATGACTTGGAGCTCCTGAATGGATTCTTGCCTCTGTTTAGAGGTCTACAATTTATTCATCTGTGATTGGACTTAGTACCATTCTGGCTTTTTGTTTTGCCTGAACTCGAAACAGGTTCCACCATTTGCATTGGATTTTTAAAATCTCCCGTGTTGTCAGAAGGTGCTACAGTAGTGAGCCAGAGGAAGCGGTATTTCGCCATGTAATATTTTGGAGTTATTATCTGTTGTTATAAATGTGGTTATTTTAATCATGCTTTTTGTTCTCCTTTTAATATTCAATGTTACAGCGTGGTTAGCACTTTGATAAAATAGATCATATTCAGGTTACTCTCTTTTTTTCCTTCCTTTTCCCAGTATGCATGTTGACGAAACCTGAAACTCCCACACCATTATGGTGGATCATGCCTTAATATTTCCTATTTATTTTAAGCCCTTGTGTTGTACTGCTTGCTTCTCAGGTGGGAAACTAAATAGCTTTCATTTTTTATTCCACTAGTATTTCGGGCACCATCCACCTTGGAAGAAATTTTATCCTTTCACCATTACCTTCTGCCGTTGTGGTGACACTTCCAAACGTTGTATGTATGCTAGATGTAGCTAAGCAATTTTTTCACAAAACTGTTTGCTGATGATTGAACCAGGAACATGAGCTTTTCTCAAATATGTAACTTTTGGACAAGGTTATATTTTTAACAAGATCTTTGTTGTCTTTAATTTAAAGAAAGTATTTTTAGAACAGTGAAAAGCCCTTCGTTTACAACTAGACATGCCATTGTATCCAAGAACATGGAATTCAATATTTACTGTCAAGAAGGATTAGCTGGTAGCACAGATGTTATGGGGGATTTATGAGGTTTTACCCAAACTGTTTATGTTCCAATTCATAAATACGTTAAGTGCTTACAAGTGTTTCCATTCAGGTTTGCTGACAGTAGTTGATTACAGATCTCTTCAGTAAATCTGCTGATTTTACACTGACATATAGTGAGGGTGCAGTCCCCAGCCACTGGTATTAATTGGGATTTTACCATTGAGTTTCAGGAGTATGCAGGCTGCACATTCTGAGCATACATGCATTGCAAGCTTAAGATGATTTGATCTGATCATCACTCCCTCTTTTCAGGGAACCCTGGGAATGGAAGCTCTCCAAGAGGGTAGGGGAACGTTAGAGGATTTTTAGCACCCCAACCAAACTACACTTCCAAGGGTTCTCTAGAGCAAGCAACGACTCTTAACTTGGCATTAAACAAATATATGTTGTAGTGGGTAGATGTTTCTTAATTCTTGTCGCTGCTGTTGTATGCAGAGAACAAATGGCTCCTTAGTTTCTAAGACCTTAGACTGACTCCTTGAACATCTCATTTTGTCCTGCACAGGGCCAAGGTCTGGACGTCAAGGCCAGAGCTGGATCTAACGGTATCCCATAGATGTTGTTCCAGCAAAGTCTTTGGCTGAACTGAGGCCTTAAATGCTACTACGAGGGGGTGGAGATACAGGGCCCTTCCCTCCAGGAGCTGGCGGCTGGTACTTAGAGGTGGTGTGCCCGATTACACAGAAATGGGGCTGAGGTGGTTCAGGGTCGGGGTCTGAAGGCAGGGCTGTTTCCGTCAGTGAGCAGGCTGGCTCAGACTCTGGGGGTTCTTCCTGCACATTAAAGGGGGCTTCTGGAGGTGTCCCAACTGCCTCACTCTGTGGTGGTGCTGAGTGCCCGGTTCCTTCCTCTTCTGAGTCTTCAGCCTCCTCATCTGGGGGGGGGGGGAGTCTGCATGCTGGTCCGTGACCCATCTGTTCTCACAGACCCACCGTCCGGTTTTGTATCTCTAACCCATCAGTAACGATCCATGACTCTTAATATGATTGTTCCATGTTGGGTTTCATCACAGGTTTTATTATATCTGCTGTTTTGTGCGCCCACTGATGTTGCACTTGAACAGAGGCAATCACCGATATATTGGCTTTTTAAACACTAAACCAAACAGCAATAAAAAAATGAAGATCGTGAACCCTGCCAAACGTATGTTATGGTGTTTTTAAAATCCAGAGCAATGCCTCCTTTTGCATTCCTACAGGAAGAACATAAAGAACCTAGTAAGCCCCAGGACCTGTTCACCAACAGGCTAGGGAGCCCTTTACACAGTACGAAAGATGACTCCTTCTGTCTGGCACTGCCAGTCCCATCGCCAGGATTTTGTGGATTGTGGGGAATTTTTTTTTTTCTTGTGAGGTTGAAGTTCTCAGTGCAGAAAGAAAAGCCATTTAGCCAATAGAAAGCGGTTCCCAGGATAGATCTCTAAATTGCAAGCCGTCAACTGTTTTAGATGACAGTTCTCAGCTGCTGCAAGTTAATCACTTCTGCCAGCCTAAGCGACAATTCTGATAACAAGCCGGCAGGTGGGGGTGATGACTTCTATAGTCGAGAAAGCTAACCCTTAGGCAGATGAACTCTCTTAAAGGAGACCAGTTTCTTGACACAGACTTAGAAGGGATCCTAGAGGTCACCTACTCCAACCTCCTTGCTCAGTGCGGGAATCAGTCAACTACAGCACCCCATTCTCCTTAAAGGAGCATACGCCTTTCAAAAATATTTTAAAATGATTGAAAAAAGCATTTACAGGAAAAATTCTTGTGGGGCTGTGCCTTTAGGAAAGGGGGCAGAGCCCCCCAAAGCCCCACCGTGGCTACATACTTGGCCCCCACCCTTCCCTGGATGGTCCAGGTTAGCCCAATCTTGTCGGTTCTTAAAAACTAAGCAGGGTCGGCCCTGGTTAGTACTTAGCTGCGATACCACCAAGGAAATCTAAGGTTGCTACACAGAGGCAGGCGAAGGCAAAACCACCTCTGAATGCCTCTTGCCTTGAAAGCCCTGTGGGGTTGGCTGTGATTTGCCAGCACTTTCTAGCCATCACTTGTGTCTGCCTCAGTAGGTAGTGTGTCCGCCATCGGTGTAGAAATTCCACGCTTTGTTCCTTAGGTGACATCTAGACAGCGACGTTGTCTTTGTGCTTTCCTCAGTCCTTCCCTTCTGGCTGCCATTCCCCTCCTCCGGTGGGAATATTGCACGGTAGGTCTGGAAGTGGGTGGACAGTTACCAGTCGCTCCAGCTACACCTCCTGGCGATGAGGCAGCTGGAAGTGTGAGAATGTTTTTAGAAATGTATTTATTTATTTTCTGCATTTATATCCCGCCCATCCCGTAAACGGGCTCAGGGCGGGTCACAGCATTTCAATAAATACAATAAAATTTAAAACGTATAAAAACAGTAGTCATGCTTGCCATAGGGGGAATCCGGCCCATTGATGTCACTAATGGCCGCAACCCCTAATGAATAGGAGTGAGCGATTGAGTATAGAACTTGGTATTAGGGGTGTGCAAAAAAAAATAATAATAATCGGCCCAATTCGGATTCGTCTGAATCGGGCAGAATCCATTTCAGCCAGCAGAAAGACTCCCGGATGTCAATTTCGGCAGTACCAGGGATTGGGGAGTCTTTTGGCCAGCCGAATGTCAATTTCGGCCCCATTATATCCTATGGGCCATTGAAGTTGGTGGCGAAAACTTAGGGTATTTTCTGGGAGCTGGATGGGAGGGGGTTCAAGGGAGAGGCTCCAAACTCGCAGGGTAGCTGCTGGAGCCTCTCCCCAAGATACCCACCAAGTTTCAAGAACTTTGGACCGGGAGTCCAATTTTATGAGCCCCCAAACAGGTTGCCCCCAGCCCCTCCATTATTCTCTATGGTTGGGGGGAAAAGTTACTTCGTTTCGAGGGTTCTTCCTCAAAGAGTTCAAACTACTAGTAAGTAAAATCCCAACCATTATTATCATAACAATAAACACTCCATGTGCACTCCATAGTCTGCGTTATTATACAGTGCTTGTTTGTTTACTGTACTCAGTGTACTGTCTTATCATTATTGGTTTGGATTCCTTTAATCGCCGTGGCTAGTAGCCACTGACCGACCTATCCTCCATGAATCTGTCTAATCACCTCTTAAAGCTGTTTATCCCTGTTGCCATAACTACATCCTCTGGCAGCGAATTCCACATTTTAATCACTCGTCTATTCCTTTTGCCCGTCTTGAATCTGTTGCCCATCAGCCTCATTGGATGCTTTCAAGTTCAAGTACTTTGGAAGACGGAGAAAAGGTTCTCTTTGTCAACTCTCTCCACCCTGTGCATAACTTTATGAACCTCTAACGTGTTCCCCTTTTATCGATCTCTTTTCTAAACTGAAATGTCCCAGAAACTTCAGCCTTTTCTCATAGAGAAGGTGCTCCAGCCCCCTAATCATCTTGGTTACCCTCTTCTGTGCTTTTTTCCAGCTCTGCCATGTCCTTTCTGAGATACAGTGACCAGAACAGCACACAGTATTCCAAATGAGGCCGCACCATCGATCTATACAGGAGCATTGTAATATTGGCCATTTTATTTTCAGTCCCTTTCCTAATAATCCCTCACATACATTTTATCTGTTCCACTGTTGCGGCACACTGGGTTGATAGTTTCTTTTTTCTTTTCTTTTTCTTTTGGGTTTTTTTGTATTTTTTAAAAGTTTTATTTATCATTTTCGTTAACAAACAGACATACAATAATAAAATATATAATCTTACACAACATATTTTTGGAGTATACATTTATACATTTTTTCCCATCCAGCTATCCATCTTTTGCCATCTTTTTTGAAACACCTTTTCATCCTTCCCTGACAATATCATATTCACTTTATCCATTTCTTTTATTTCCATAACTTTCATAATTAATTCTTCTCTATCTGGTATTTTATCTGACTTCCAACATTTTGCTATAAGAATTCTAGAAGTAGTAAGTATATATAATATCAAACAAATCATTATGTTTAATCCCATCCGGTAACATGCTAAGTAGGTATATTTCTGGCTCCAACTTCAGTTCTATTTCAGTTATCTCTAATATCCATTTTTTTATATATTTTTCCAAAATTTTGAGATCTTTTCACATCTCCACCATATGTGATAATATGTTCCAATGGTTTTTTTTTTACATCTCCAGCAGTTCCCTGAGACATTTTTGTAGCATTTAGCTATCTTATCTGGCGTCCAGTGCCACCTATAAAACATTTTAATGATGTTTTCCTTGTATGTTATAGCTCTTAATATTTTTATTGATTTCCACATTTTTAACCAGTTCTCTAAGTTAATGTTGTGCCCCAAGTCTTCATACATGGTTTTATTATTTTTTTATATTTTTTATATCTGCATGTGTGTGTGCGTGTGTGTGCACCTGGAAGTCATGGCGACCTCTGGTGACTGACCCCCTAATGGGGGCCTGGAGGATATCTAGAGAGGTGGCTGAATAAAGCCTGCCCTCGCTTCTGATATTCCAAGAGGGTCTCCCATCCAAGTACTTGCCAGAGTCAACCCTGCTTAGCTTCCAAGATCTGACAAGATTGGGCTTGCCTGGGCTATGCAGGTCGGGCACACTGGGTTGATAGTTTCATTTGGTTCTGCACTACGGCCCCAGAGTGTACTTTCCCCAGAGTGCCAGTTTGGTGTAGTAGTTAAGTGTGCGGACTCTAATCTGGGAGAACTGGGTTTCATTCCCCACTCTTCCACTTGCAGCTGCTGGACGACCTTGGGCAAGCCGCTCTGAGACTCCTTTGCT